TGCTATTGTACAGCGAGAGATGCTACACAAAACAAAGAAACACCTGACTGATTGGGAGAAAATATTTGCACACAATACTAATGACAAAGGACTGATCACAAAGGCACACAAAGAGCTGATTAAACTCAACAAAAATAAAGTGAACAACCCCATCAAAAAATGGGCAGAAGAGCTACAAAGACACTTCTCCAAAGAAGAAACGTTCACTATTATCACTTGTAATGAAGGAAATGCAAATTAAAACCACAATGAGATATCATCTCACACCAGCAAGAATGGCACACATTAAACTAGCAACAACAAATGTTGGCGAGGGTGTGTAGAAAAAGGAACTCCTACTACACTGCTGGTGGGAATGCAAACTGGAACAACCACTATGGAAAGCTGTTTGAAAGTTTCTCAACAGGCTAAAAATAGAACTTCCATATGACCCAGCAATCCCACTCCTAGGTATATGCCCAAAGGACACACAAACATTGTTTCAAAAGGATATCCACACCCCATGTTTATGTCTGCTCTATTTACAATAGGGAAGATGTGGAATGAACCCAAAAGCCCAAAAATAGATGACTGGATTAAAAAGATATGGTACAGATGAGCAATGGAATATTACTCAGCAATCAAAAAAGATAAACTCATGCCTTTTGCAGCAACATGGATGGAGCTGGAAGGGATCACACTTAATAAAGAGAAAACTACTGGATGGTTTCATTCATATCAAGAGTGTAAAGGATGGAGTGGGGGTGGGAAGAGACAAACAAACATAATGGAGTAAAAATGAAAACAATTAACAACAATATACCAGAGACATTTTATGGGGGTGAAAGAGGAAATGGGATAGGAACTGAGGTGGGAAAAGTGCACTGGACTATGGTGATGGCACATGGGTAAATTGGTGGTGGAAAAGCCATGGGGATTACAAGTGAGATGAAAAACTGTGCAAAATTAAGAATGATGTTAAGAAAGAAAAAGAAAGAAAGCAAGCCCAGGGTTTCCTAAGGTGAAAACACATCAATAATGATGATGCTGGTGTGTAATTTGGGCTTTATGTGAGCCCAAAATATTTCGACTTTATTGATTGAACTGTTAAGCAGCTGTTAGGTTGCTGAAAATGAAGGTAAATGTGACTTTCTTACTGATGAGCTGGCAGGTAGGGCAAAATCTCACCCTTCACAGGATTGACAGTCAGATTGTGGAGGATAGGCTTTTCCTCTGCTTCCCCTTATCAATGCTTAACTATCATATGCTTTAAGGGAAAGGATGATTATTGGTCCATCAAGATCATTCATCTGGGTATGCTGGAGAACTTTGGAGAGAACAGACAAACTTGATGGCTCTGTCAGATGAAGACATCAAAGTCATGATCACATTTATATAGGAGAGGAAGTCATAATTCATTTGAAGGAATTTTGGCAGGGTTAAGGCTAGAGAAGGAAAACCAAAATGGTCTTTTGCATAGAATCTTTGGAAACAATTCAGTGGATTATTGTTGCCTCTATCTATGACTGTATAGTAAAAAGAGGTGTTTTGTATGTTTGGAATTCTCCATCCTTTGTGTCAGAGGGGGATCATGTTCACAAAGAAGAACTTACATACTACGGTGCATGCACCTTTGTAGGTTCTTGATCTTAATGACCTATTTGAGCTTTACATTTCTGTTACTCGAGATTTTTCAAATTGGAATGTCTGATAGTCAGGTAGCCTCAATTTGAATGTGCCATTTGGGGTTCAAGATAGTTACCTGACTGCCCTGACAGAGTTACTGTATATTTTATGAAAATCAGCTATTACCATGATATAGAGCTGTTGAAACTTTATAGCTTGCAAGGCCTTGTGATTCTCTGGCCTGTAATTTCATTTTAGGAGGTCAAGTTGAAATCAATGAAGAAAAAAGGAGTTAAGTTTCAACATACTTCATTAATCAGGTAGAAATAGCATATGCCTCAAAATCCAAGTCAACCTGTCCTTAGGACTACTATAATTTGAACTTAGCTAGGCTAGGCTAGGCATTTTTTGAGTTTAGGGTGGCAGTTTATCCTAGACTAATCTATGTAGTCTAGGTGTTGTGTGCCTAAACTAGCTAGGCTGGACTAAACTAGACTAATCTAGGAATTGTGTGGACACTGTCTGGCTAGGAGTGCTACACCAAAATAGGATTTGTGTGTGCTCAGGCTGGCAAGACGGCACTAGACTAGCCTAGGCTAAACAGCCTTGGTGGGCTACAAGAGATGAAGAATTTTCCTCCTTAATCTAGGCTAATCTAGGCTAATCTAGGCTATGTGGGTGGCTACCCAATACCTTTGGTGGATTGTGTGAGGACATGAATTGGATTCCTTCAAATAGGTTGAGCCTCTCTCAGTAGTTGCCTAATAGCCTTGATGGACTGTATGGAAATGAATATCCTACCTTTATTCTGAGTAAGGGTATGCTACCCCCCACACACATACTTCTGTAGATGGATGCTTTAGAATGAGACCTTTGTTCTTTATGGGGGGCTAATCTGAGCTTCTGCAGGCCAGGCCCTAGGGACTCCTTTTTGAGGACTGCACTGAGAATGAGAACTGTTCCTAAGGCCAGACTAGCTGGCTGTCTGCTCCCCTTCGTAGAATGCATGATAATGGGAATTCTGTTGTTTTGTCTAGGCTAGATGAGACTTGTCCAGGCCAAACAGTTACCTGGCACTGTTCATGGGCTGCCTGAGAATGAGAATATGTTGCTTAGGCTAGGCAAGGCAGAACTATGTATCTGCAGGTGCCATTCATGGACTAAATGAGAATGAGAATCCTTCCCTTAGGCAAGACAAGGATAGTTGGTTACCCCATACCATTCATTCATTGATGTGTTTAGAATGAGATTTCTTTCCATTCTTGGTTAACCAGAATTATTATGTTGCCCTATTTCATGTAATTGTTTAAAGGTTTGGTATGTTAAAATTATTAAAAGGTATCCTCTGGATTCCTTTTCTGAGTGAGTGAGCTGAAAATATTACTATATCCAGATCTTGTATCCTGCAAAATCTAGGGATAATATTTCTGTGTTTGAGAAAAATACCTGCACCTTGTATCTAAAAGAAATATTACATCATTATATCCTAATGATTTCACCAAGGATATCATGAGACAATATAAATTTGTTGACCCAAATTCATCATCTTGTTAAAAGTGAAAAAAAAAAAAAGTAATACAGATCAGTATCTTGAGCTATCCATTTCAGTACCTTGATGATTGCTTGTCCACACTTAACTCTGTTCAGCAATACCAGCAGATCGTGAACTCTGAACAGCTGTAGTCTATCTATAATGTTAACTGAAGTTTTAGAAGTTTGTTTTTATTTTGCCTATGATAAATGAATGTCCTCCTAAGGTGTGTTCATTGTACTGAATTTGGGGATTAAGTTTCTAGAATCCAGACTCTCTTGGAGCTCACATTTGGGGAAAAGATAAGACAGTATTGTGAACTGAGCTAGGCTGTTCCCAGTGTGCGTTCCAGGGGTGCGGTCCTGTTAGTGGACTTTGTTACAGCTTGGGTCCTGGATGAAATGCCAGATGCAGGGAAAGACTAAATATATGCCTTCTATTCTTGCCTCAGCTTTTTGGAAACTACTTGGAAAAGCAAACCCATGCTCCTCAAGTTCTAGGTATACAGTGCTACATCTCTAGGACTGTTTGGTAGATGCATTTAATATAAAGATAAATTCTAATAACAGTATGTCATCACATTTAGAATGACTCCAAAGATTTGCTCTTTAGTTGCTGCATATAAATCACCTATCTTAGTTTTATATTAGAGGTTAATCTTTTGAAATTTAGCCATAGACTGAATAGCACAAATTACATGAAAAAAAAAATGGCTCCTATTACCAATAAAATGAAGTTGGTATTTGAAATATAGCATTATTTATTTCCTACCATTTTTAATTTCTGGGGTGAGTAGTTAACAAAGTTTAAATGTGTGACTTTTGAAACAAGTGTAGCTGTCTACCCAGTTACAGTTTTCTTACCATTTGTTTTTCCATTTCAGGATACATCCCAGTTACCTGGACTCCCTGAGTATGTGAAAGTAGTAGAAGTTGGACCTAGAGATGGATTGCAGAATGAAAAGGTAATTTGACATTAGTTTTACACCATGTATTTCAAGAGATAAATCTAAATGTTATTATTTATGAAGAATCTAAAACCTTGGTGGAATTCCTATACTATGTGATTGTTTTTGTTACAACTTGAATGTAAAAATCTTAAAAATGATTTTTTACAGGAAGTAATTTTGTATTTATGCTTCAATAGACTCTGTATACAACTACTTACAAAAAATAACTTTTAATATTTTTATAGGTTATAGTTCCTACAGATATTAAAATTGAATTTATCAATAAGCTTTCCCAAACTGGCTTGTCAGTCATAGAAGTGACCAGCTTTGTGTCCTCCAGATGGGTGCCACAGGTATGTACATCTATAAATCCTTAGCTAGACCCTTCAACTTTGCCAACAGTCAGTAAACTAGGTGATTAACATTATGTATCACTGATGCAATTACTAATTTGCTATGGTTTTTATAAAATGTAGCTCTTGCACTAAGATATAATTAAAGTAAAAAAATTGCTTTGATGAAATGTCATATCAGCTCATCCAAAAAGTTATTTGAAGTCCTATACTAGACCAACTAGAATGTACTCCAGTATAATGAGTAGAGTATAAGGTTCTACAAAAGAAATTTACTAATCTCCTTTGCATGAACCATTTTACGGAGTAAGAATAATCTCATTTTCAAGTGTTTTTAATTCTTTGTCTATTAGAAAGAAGTGATAATGAATAATTGATCCTTTCCCATGTAACCCTATATTAAAAAGTGAAAAATACATACATACTATATATGTATATATGAGATCTACTCTTTTAGCACTTACAGTGGCTTTTCTGAAGAAATATATATATATATATGTATGTATATGAGTATATGAATGCACATATGCATATATATATATATATATAT